AAATTCAGGTGGGATATATTCAAGGTCATATTTTGGCTCCTGTGGACTTGCTTTCATTTTCTTCAGCTTCAGTTTGAATTTGCATATGAGTAATTGATGGACTGTTCTAAAGTCTGCCCCTGGCCTTGTATTGACTGATGATATGGAGCTTTTCCATGGTCTCTTTCCACAGATGTTGTCAATATAGGGTGGCTATAAATAGTACATAACAACTGGTGAAATTGACATTAGATCAATAAATATGTAAATTCAGTCACACATACAAGCTTTTAGGAAAAAACTATTTGGAATTCGAATCTTACAAAGTTTTTTACATTTATATTATTGGAAATACTTATATGTAGATACTTTTTATTACTTATTAGTTAAGTAAACTATAGACATATATCTTGGAAGACAAGTTATTTCTATTTCAATGTGTTATCTTGGTCAATATGTAAATTTATAAGAATTCCAACATGGGGACCTGGTGTGGCACCGTAATGTAAGCGCTGGACTGCTAACCTCAAGATTGGCAGTTCAAATCCACCAGTAGCTCTGAAAACCATATGCAGAGTCATATGAGTAGGAACAGCCTCCAACTACAAATTTACCTTTTACAATTCTTAGTAAGCAAAGGAATGAGATGTGGCTTGGTTAGAAATTAGAATTGCATTAGTATACTCTAAGTTCAACTTATGAAACATAGTATTCTACTTTTAACTCACATCTTTTACCCTCTGTTTCTCCCATGGATCGCCCAAACAGGAATTTAGGTTCCGAAATAATACTGCAGACAAGTTTATTTGCAGTGTAGGCAGCCATGAGGTTATGAATAATACCCATTCCTAAGTATGCCTTCAAGTCATATTTGTAGGCAAGTCAGAACAGGTGCATACGGTTCATATTTAACCTTACTTCAGTGCAAAAGCTGGAAGCCTTTTCAATTATTTACAATCTGCACGTGCTTCAAGTGAAGGTGGGTTTGATGACGAATTGCTGCTAGTAGAGGTTTCTTCAATCTTTTCAGAGTGAAGGCAAATTTATATAATGCTAAAGGGCAAGTAGGAGCAGTCTGTAAGACTGACGTTCATAACCTGGGTATTTACTGTGTGTCTAACTCACCGAAAGTCACAGAAAGCTTATGGGTTTTTAGAATTGCAGTTCTGTTTTCTAAATCAAAATCACATAGTTCTCCAAACTATGTATAACCTTAGAATAGGACTTTGTTTACTATTCCCCATTTTTTAAAAAAAAATTGAAATTATGTACAAAACCTACTTAAAAAAAATTCTTTTGGTTAAAGATGGTAATCAACCATGATGTTCTTGGAATAGGAATATTTTTCACACTATAGCTTTTGTAAATTTTTCCAGAGAATAAATTAATGTAAGATATGATCTAATAAGAGAAAAAATTCACATAAGATATGGTCTAATGTAAGGGAAGACAAGAGAAATTGAAATAGGTGAAATGTTAGAGCTTTCAATGTCAGATTCTTCACCAGATTAGAGCAGATTCCGCAAAATCTTCAGAATAACACTAAAGACACTGCTGTTAGATGCCATC